AATATCCCTTCACTGGTTACTCGGATGTGGGAGAAGTGCTTGAGATTGACACCCAAAAGTCCCCGTACCTGAAGAGTCCTGGAAACTTGGTAACTTGGCATGATTTGGAAATTTATTTGCATGGAGTAGCAGGAACTCAAGGGAGTAAAGGGGGATTTAGGTTGGAAGTTAATCGTGACATTGGGCTTGTAAATAAAGAGAGAGACGGTTTAAAGGAAGAATTTCTTGTGCCAAAGGGATGGAGGGTTCTGAAGAACACAGGCATGGTTCAACAAGAAGATGGTTCCTGGAAGCTGATGGACCATGAAGAAGATAATGACAATCATCCTTGAATTGATTTCGTTTGAGACTACGTGGTTTGGGTTTTGGTGCGCCTTAATCCACAACCCAAATGGCTGGATATACTTCCGTTTTATTGTGCGTGGGAATGACTGTGTTGAGAAGTATATTGTTAAAGATAGAGTCAAATAAGTTTGTTGGCAAGAGTGCTAATAAAATGGAGTCAAGCATCGGATTTCAAATATTTGATGAAGCCACGTTTTTAGTAGGAAAATTTCAACAAACTTTAGATTTTTTTTTCTTCTGTTTTGCTGCTTAAAAATAATGAGAATGACCAATTGTAATGTGTCAAATTCTCATCTCTTCATCATATTTTCTCTTGTTGTTGTTTTGTTTTCAATATTCAACAATAAAATCATTTTAAGTTTTTAACTCCATATTAGTCTACTCCTTATTCTTCAATTTACTGTCCACACTTGATCCATTTTTGTTTTAGCACATACTTCTCATGATCTCATCAATCACTTTTGATGACTCGTTTACCATAACTAACCTCACTATTGATGATATGTGGATTTGTTAATGACTTGTTATAGCTGCATATTTATGCATTACACGGAAGACTTTAAGAAAACGTATTGTGACAGCAACCCTTAAAAAAAAATTCAAAATTAGAACATAATGAAATTACTAAACACATTAGAAAAAATCTAAAAAGTACTTTAATTATATAGAATACAACTTATAACTTTTATCATGTAAAAGTAATGGCTTGCTTGATTTAAGAAAAGTGTAGGAAAGGAGGTGAGACTATTTTATCTAGTCAAATTAAAACGTTAGTTTTCGCCATTTCCCTCAAAGCAAACAAATTATAAGAAATAGTGAATTCGGGTATTAGAGGAACTCATTAATACTGTAATCGGGCCGAAGTAGAAAAATGAAAATGAAGATAGTCGGGGCAGGCTGTCATTATGAGCCCAAGCTGATACGGCCCATCTATATAGATAGTGGGCTTCTAGCCTTGCCTGTCATTAATTGAGCCGAGTGCGTACTGCATCGTATTGTTTGGAGATGGATCATTGATGGATTAATTTGACGATTTGCCAATGTTAAAGTGCAGTCTTAAAAGTTTTTTGTTTTTGGTCCGGTTGCCCAAAAGGGTTGTTTTAAAGGGGTTGGGGCATAAAAGGTATACTATTTCTCCTCCGGGATAGTGTGCGAAATGATTTAACAAAACTCTACAATAGGATGAGGACTGTTCTAATTAATGTCAGCTACTTGCTCTTTTCAGCTGTTGGCATTATCGGTGAAGTTGCTTAGAAACTTGGGAGATGATCGTAAGGGTCAATTTTCTCTGCCTATATATATAGAAAAATAATTGATATATTTTCTAAATTAACACGTTCCA